GATAGATGGCGCTGTTACTAACTGAAATTAACGCCATCTATCGACAGTTTAACAATTAAAATTAAATAGGGACGATGGACGTGCAAGCTACGAAGATGATGAGCATCCATCTGGAGGCCCTGCTGCCTCCTACTTCCATCGAGCTGGACATCCAGCAGAATATCCTGGTGGCGGCGCTTCTGGGCGTGGGTCTGCTGTATCAGGAAACTGTGCACGCGCATTATGCTCAAGTCCTGCTCAACGAAATAGGTATATACCATACTTATTTATTAATTCTAAGTAAGAAGGTGAAAACCAATTATTTGGTATAAACTATACGGATATAATTGCTTTTGTGTAAGAATTACACAAAGAAAGGAAAAGATGTAGTTATTTAAAGCGTTAATGTGGCAAAGAACTTCTTTTAGTTTACTTTTAAAATAACATATCTCATTGATTATATATTATCATTGATATATCATTGATTATATATTATCATTCTTATTGTATAAATAACTAGCTATGAAATTAAAAAATAATAAAAGACGTTCTGTCACTTAGCGGTAACGTAGTTTTTTTTATGTTATATTAGTATAGATGATACTGAATGTTCGCAGGCAAGCCGCCGGGGCCGGAGACGGAGAACTGCGTGGAGCGCGAGGGGTACGCGCTGGCGGCGGGGCTGGCGCTGGGCCTGGTGTGCGTGGGCGCCGGGGACTCCGCCCCGCCGCACCTCGCGCCCCGCCTGCGCGCCTACGTGCTCGGCGGGGACCCGCACGGTATGCACACGACACACGAATCTTGCTAACAATTTTAATAGAAAATCATCAAGGCTTGAACACGTCCATAAATGTTAAAATATTTATATAATAAAAAAATATATAAATTGAATGACTAATTGGTGATTTGTCAAAAAGGGAGCGACTGAGATAACATAGATAGATCAACCTAAAGGCCCAAACCTATTGCATTGACCCTAAAGGTGTAAGATAAGGACATAGATGTGATGAATTGACTATTTGTTGTTAAAAGTATCAAAACTACCATTAAATTGCATTTTGCAAACAATGCGATGTGTTGTGTGTAGGTCGCGATGGCGGTGTGGGCGTGTCGGG